GATTTTTTTAAAATATTTTTTTGTTGTTGATAGTTTGAACGTTTAGGAGTTACTGATTGAAATGCAAAGCATTTTATCACTTTTTTAAAAAACAATTTAATGGAAATTTGACTTTTTATTTAGGCTAACATATATTTTTGAAATTTCTTCACTTAATATCTATTTTTGTCCCATTTGTGGTTAAAATTTAAAATAAAAAAATTGTAAAATTTTTTCAAATATTGTATATATTATCTCAATTATGTATAGTTGGTTGAGTGTTTTTAATTAATCTCTCCTTAACTGTTGATTTTCTATTTTGAGAAGTGGTTCAAATAGTACCTTATAAATGCATAACTGGCACATAAAAAACATAGGGTATCCTAAATGTTACTGACGGATTTATTTTACGACTCTCCTCGTGTTACTTCAGGGTGCAAAGACGCACACTTAGGGAACACCAATCCTATTGCTAATTTTTTATTAGTTATATTTTTAAAAACTTGAACTATGTACCAAAAAGTTTATTAAAGTCATATAAGGTGGCAATACAGAATAAGTTAAGGAAATATAACTTTTCTTTTTTATCATTTAATGTAGCGATTCCTAATACGTGTTTCGGGAAACCCTAGGGTTGCGTGGAAGGATCCCAGCGGTTCCGAGATTTAAGACAATTTATTTAAATTGGTAACAATTTTTGAAACTTGTTCATATAAAATCATTATTTATTTAATATATCGTTTATTTATATTTTTTAAACTATTATTGTTGGAACGATGAAAAAATTTATTTAATTCCTCACCTTATATAGTTTAAAAATCATTGATAGTCTTTCTTGGATTAATATGTTTACAACAACTAAAACAACGCCAAAAGAAGGTCGATCATTTAGGGCTCCGTAGCCAGATTTAGTCATCAATACACATTTCAACAATTTTGTTGTGTACGGAGCGAATGCCATTGCTGGAGGAATGGCATGCAAAGTTTAAAAATGGAAATTTTGATCTCAGAGACGCACCTTTTCTGGCAGTCCAGTTGAGTTCCATGAAGTGCGATTAAACTAACTTTTGAACGAAAGCATAAAAGGAAATCGAAAGCTTAAACGCCATAAATTAAAAAAAATTAGAAAAACGGCGGGAGCGTATTTGCCAATCCATCACTATGTTGTTTAACGAAGAGTGGTTGCTTACAAACAATAGAGACTTAGAAGCAAATACTTTTAAGTTTCTGGTGATTTGTTATTTTTGGTTCTCAACAGCGTCAGAAAGGGTTAAGCATCATAGTGATCAAAACGCAAATCCATCTCTACCAGACGTGATTGTTCAACGTTCGTAGTTGTCTGATATTCCCAATTTTCCCTATGCCCTTATTTGACCCGATTTTCAGCTTTTTGTCCTAATATTCCTGATTTTTGTATGCATTATTTCATTATACGATTATAAAAATAAATCAATTTAATCAATCAAAAAATTTGAATTTTCCATCCAATTTTTTTTTATTTTAATTAATAATGCTTGAAAAAATCACAAAATTATGGATGGTATACATATGGTTCAGGCATATAGAGCCTTACTTGCAGGTTTCATTGTTTCAAACTTCTTGGAATTTAGTAATTTTATGAAAAGAAGCTAAATTAACAATTTTACATTATCGAATTTTTATGGGAATTAATTCAGGTTTTACACGTCTATTGAGTTTTTTCAGCAATTGCAGTAGCGAATGTTGTTGGCTGGAGTTTTACAGTTTCACAATTATTCATTCGTCTCTTTGATTTTAAAAATGATCGATTCGAATCAACAGCACAGTAATCATATATAATTTTTAAATTGTGATTTGTGGAATTATCCACTAAATTATTTTTATGTCAATTAAATATCGGTATGTGGGAATTTTATCTAACTGATATTGGTTAAATTTTTATTAATACAAGAGTTTCTATATATTGATAATTGATTTAACAGTATATTTTATTTTATTTTTGCGACAAAACTTACCCTTATATTACTTTAGTAGAGCAAATTGTACTTTTCTTTAATTTGTACTTATTAAAAATAGTCTTCTACATGTACAGGGTTATTCATAATTCCCTCCGGGGTTTCGAAGCGTTATAGTAAAAAAAATGAAGACGAATATGGCAAAAAAGAACGTATGAAATTATTCCAAAAGTATTGGAAGTTTTAATTTAAGCAGTTGCTGGTAGATGGCAGTAACATGTACCACTGAAGCCAGTTGTAGTAAAGAAAAATGGCGTTTACAGGCGGAGGGAATTATGAATAACCCTGTATACTGTTCCAAAAAACGTCTTTTTTTTTTTTTTGAAAAATTTTGTACCGATTATTTTTTGCCTACCACAAGCCGTGTTATGTTATAAATTTGTATTACACTCAGAACAAGTTTTTTGGCTTAGTCATTCGTTTTAAAAACCCTGAATAATTGTCACTAATTGTTGCAGCGTTCCCTTCCTTTTCTTTAAAGAAAAAAAATGCTGAATTCCTGACTAAATTTTTTTTGCTGTGTACCTTTGTATTTTTACAAGAAAAATGAGTGAAATCGAAAGGGAGAAAAAAATCGAACGGAAATTCCTTACGACGCCAAAAGCGGAGAAGAAGAATAACAGTGACCTAGAGGTGTTCTTTGTTTTGACTGCGCAAAAAGGATCAAGATCGGGCCTTGGCGCGTCTTTGGAAATCTGCCAATATCAAATCGGCCTTCAAACATTCACATGCAGCCGTGTCAACAACCCGAGGGATTAGCTTCACGGTTGCAGTTTTTATTTTATAGGTGCGATTCCTCTTTGTGTTTTGTTGTTGACAAATCTCAAGTACAGATGAACTGAAAACAACTTCGTTGTTGACAATTTAGAGGCTTCAAACTAGAGAAAAAATGAGAATAAAAGAAGTGAAATTTTATTAAATGATTAAGTACCTATAAACGTTTAAAACCGTGGAAACTTAACCCAATTAGGGGTTTGCTTACGATCTAATTTTTGTATAATTAGTTTAATAGAGTGATAAATTTTCTGTATTGTTTTTCAACCAGAATATACGTTTTAAATATGAAACGAAAAATGTTTTAATTCTGTTGTCCGAACTTGATGTAAGTCGTTTATTTCTTTTGATACTTAATTATAATTGTTTATTTAAATCATTTAGATAAATACTGATTATGCTACGTTTAAACCCAACTGAGTGACCATTCTTAGTTTTTTTTTTCTCGTCTGACATAGTTTCTATGATCAATGTTTTGGCTAGAACTTATCACAGTACAGGTTGCATTCAGCACGTATATCTGTAATTCATTGTAATCTAGAATTTTGCTCATTCCAATCGTCACCTGTAAGAGGGCCTAGAACACTTGGTGAACCGATTTTGGGGATAATATGTTGGTGATTGCAATCCTTTTTATAAAATATTTACATAAGGTTCCTAAAAAAATCATGACTATCTTATTAATTTCTTGGAGTATTCTAAGCATTTGCTGTCAAAATCCGTTCAGCAAATTTGAAAGAAAAAAAAACATGTGTTTGACGAAATTTTAATAAAAATGTGCATAAATGTAGTATGGGGACTTATACCTATTAAAACCGCCCCTGTCAACTCCTAAGCTATTATTGAAACAAACTTTTGATGTCTTAAACCTCTTTGGACAAAATTGCAACAGGTCAGTGTTTTAAAATACTCCGGGACCGTTTTTTAGACACCCCCCTAGCTCTAGAAACAATAATATTCAACCATATTATACACTTTCGATCATCAAATTTTATAAGACTTATTGGAAATTGCCGAATAATATTTGCGTTCTATTTCCAAATTTAAAATAAACAATTACTCTTTGTACTTTATTAACTCTAAAATGGGTTGTAAATTAGACAATTAACAATTAAAAATCAATCAAATCAAAATCAAATCAATTAACGCATATTGAATATCTGTTTTTATGTACACATAAGAAAGAAATAGTAAGAGAGAAAGAGAGTAGCGAGTAAGTAGAGAATAAAGAAATAGAGATTATAAAACTATAAAGATTACACTGTAAACACTGTTTTACCAATTGGCATGTCCGAATGTCAGCACCCAGTATCATCACAATTTACACTTCACAAATTTCCTTATTAATGATCATGATCAAACATGAACATGCACTTCACAAATTTCCTTATTTATAATCATGAACATGCACTTCACAGGATTCATTGCATTGCAGTAGTACTACATCCACCTAACTTCCTAAAAATCAAAATCTGGTACACTATATCTGACCTACTAGATGGCAGAACTACAGTGAAGTAACTCCACATTTTAGCTACCAGTTCTTTTCTACTCTAGAAAATTCATTGTCTCGTAGATTCCCGACTTTCTGCAGTTAAGCGAAATCGGAACGTTTCTGTAACGCTTATAAAAGATTTATAAAGATTATAAAGTAACACTAATAAAAGACAGTAAACCTAAATTGTTTCACTAATCTATGTTTTGATGAAAGTCATAGAGTTTTTACATTAAGCCTATAAATAAAAGAACTATAGAAAGTATAGAAGTGATTTTTTTTGTATTCTATGAATTGAATCATAAGCAACAGAGTAGGACTGATTAAGTTAAGTAACTGATTCAGTGTTAACACAGAAAATGGTAGCTCTCGCTAGCTACAAAACTGTTCAGGGTTTGGTGACATTCCTAACGCTTATAATCTTTAACTATCCAATTTCTTCTCTGAGGAGGGTAATATTGGCATTTTGTAGCCAATATCGTGCATAGAGACTTAGCTTTTCGAAGTTGGATGAGCACTGTAGCCAAGAAAACTTTTGCACCGTACTACAGACTGACAGTTAGAGTTTCTGTCTTTATTGCATTAGAATGATCTTCCTTTCCTGTCTTTGAATATTTTATATATTTTTGTGCCTACTAGCCTCTGTTAATGAGAAATACAGTCATTATTTTTACCACTTATGTATTTTGTAGTATGGTATTTCCGATTCATTGTAATTAACGTGATTTGGTAGTAATGCAGAATTGTTCATTTTTCAGGTGCTGGAACGATCATGCGAAGTTGTTGATGGCGTCAATGTGTCCCTAAGGTTATGGGACACATTCGGAGATCATGATAAAGACAGAAGATTTGCATACGGGAGGTTTGTATACGTTCATTGTTGTGCTTAACTACGTGTACTGAACTCAAGATAATGTAATGAAATGTGTCTTTTTTGCAGGTCGGATGTAGTGCTCCTTTGTTTCTCCATTGCAAATCCAATGTCATTAAGAAACTGCAAGGTGATATGGTATCCAGAGATTCGCCGATTTTGCCCAAGTACTCCCATCGTACTAGTGGGCTGCAAAAATGACTTGCGTTACATGTACAGAGACGAACAGTTTCTCAGCCTCTGCAGAGACCGCAGTCCATTTTTCAGGTACTATATCTTTTTTTAAAATTATTATTATCTGTAACTCTGTTTTGTGCGGCATCTATAATTTAACTCGTAAGCGTCTCCTGTTGAATGATTCTTTTTTTTCCCCATACTAATTCCTTAAGTTCTGGATTTTAAAGAGCAAGTTGAATATTTTTGCCCTATTAATCAACTGTACTAATTTTGCACACTTTAAATAATTTTCAAGCATGCGAATTTCTCTAATTTTGACATTAAGAGCTATGTTAATAATAATGTATCTTATCAATCGTACCAATTGTGATCTTAAGCACTAGGTTGAATTTCTCAACTTTATATAACATTTACCAATAAATGTTAGGTTGATTTAATTTTGTGCGTTTGATGCGTTAAATCATATGGATTCGTTTATCAGTTTTGCCTATTGTGATCTCAAGCACTAGATTGAATTAATGAGCTCTGTATAAAATTTAATAATAAATGTCACATGGATTTAATTTTGTGTAACTAGATTACAAATTTTGAAACCACCGTGTTGAATAAAATTGTTCGTCGTTCACTGGCTGAATACTTTTGATTTACAATAAGAAGCTGAATTATTCTACTATTGTACTAATCTCGATACTAAATGCCTTATCGAATTTTTTACCTACGACATTTAAATTGTGATACAGAATAGCATGTTCAAAAAATCAGAGTGAGATTAATCATACAAAATTAAAATATTAAATTTTTAGACAAATGCGCGTATGGCTTAGGCACGTATGACTGGTTCAATCAATGCAATCTCAACTGTTCGTTTCAATAGATTATTTTAATGCAACATTTTGCCATGCGAAACTTAAAGATTATGAATATCAATTAGACACATTAAAATTTTGCGAATTTATTAAATTAGTAATAATTTTGAATGTACCATTGTAACTTGAATCGCTACATACTACTATAACAATGTATTGAAATGATTGAATTATGAAATAAAAAAGAACAAAAAATTCTTTGTCGTATAATTATGGATCAGTATACTATCTTACCGTTGCAAGAATACCAATGAGTGTGTACCATGGTAAAAGCACCATTTTGTAATATTGCAAGACTACTGCCACTAAAATGGATCATATGTACCTCATTGAACTTAGCAATGTCTTGTCATATTGACTTGAACTGTAATTACGCTGAAAACATAAACATCGTTAAGAGGAAAATCTTCTATTGTTACTCATTGAGAAAACTGGTGTTGCTTTATGTTTTTCATGCCAGCAAACTTTTCGACTAGATCAACTTTATCGATTTGACTAATTTCAACACCATAATTGGGTACTTGCAACTTGAAACGGTGACGATCACTGATACACAGACGGTGACATATGACCACAGCGCCAGCTGATCATTTATAAACAAGATGGCGTGTTAAAGTCGAGCACGTTTTTTCACATAAGTTAGAATGTTAATACAACTAAATTAAATACAACGCCGTATCACCCATCGAATTTGTTAAAATATAATTATTTCTCGTCTACGTATTTTTACTAACTAAGATTTATTATTTGTTTATGTATTTTATTGTAACCGTGATTTATTTTTGTTTTTTGTACCTAGCAACTTCGATTCATAAATAGTTTGTTCTACATGGCTTCGTGCCTGTCTTTGTGTTAAGTAAGAAATCTATAGTGAAAGAATTGAAATCTTTGTGAAAGAATATAGAATGTGTCACTTAAAAAATCGATACTTGACGGGCTTGGCTTACTCGAAAGAGAATAGAATGAACAGTTGTTAACATAAACGCATTCCACGTGTTTGAACAACCAATTAGGATCGATACCCACGCCACGTCGCTTACAGATATCCTATTACAAATGAGTTGTAAGAGACATAAAATCAGGTTAACAGAAGCATTAAAAAGAGCAGCATCAAATAAAAAAAGCAGATGATAATTTTGGAACTTCTTTTCATAATTACTGTCTTAGTCGGTGATTTTAATATAAATATTTATACTGAAGAAGGAAAAGAATTATGTGACGTCTTAAGAAAAGCATATTGGCTGGAATTGAAAACCAATCTAGCCTATTGGACGACAAGAAAATAAGCATCAATTGGTGCAATGTTTACAACCCCTGGCTTGAAATGTTGTGATGTTTATGAAAGTCTATTCAGGTACAATGTACCTTTATATGGAAGGTTGTAAAAGATAGGAAAAATTAATGACCAATGAATAACCTGTGATCGAACAAATGCGATCGAAATTTTCTTTCTTTTCTAATTTATCATCTTTTTTTTTAAATTATTTTTTAAACTTAAAATATATTTCTAGTTAAGTCCCAAACTTTAACTTTCCAAAGAAAAATCGTTTTAAATATTCTATTATTCTTTTTCGCGACCAGTGGCCACTGTACCTACCGTTAAACGCGGGTGTTTAAAAACATTGTCATGAATGACTTACCTAATAATTATTTTTTGTAGCTCCGAAACAGACAAGCAAATAATTTAAGTGTATAATCGTCGATAATTAAATACAGTGCTTTGTATATCATAAGTCAAACAACGTATTTTCTATTCCTTTATCATTGATGTATTCATATCACTTGTCTTAGTGCTTAAGTTAAAGCTGAAGCTCCATCATCAGGGAAAGACGATGCGACTATGACGGATCGCCTTGTTCTTGCGACTTTGACGGATGAATGAAGACATGAGCTTTAGCTTACGCTGTGGTTTCAGAATAGTGTATGTGTGGGTGAGTTCTCAGGGCTTGGAGTTTTTGGAGATCGCTCCAAGATGTTCTTACATTGCCATTCGAAAACAGACAAAAAAAAATTTAATCGTTTTTTATCTTAAGAGAAGAAAGGAGATATTTTATCGTTCTCTTTTTTATATAGACAGACGATTTTGTGTTCTATCTTTTTTTATAGACAGACGATCTTTTGGTAACAAATCCTTCATTTCAATACAAAATATTTTTAGACGCTGCTCAGATTGTTTTTTTTTATTGTAAGTTTTCCAACAAATTAAAAGTTCATATGAAATACACTAAAGAGCCAAAACATTATGACCACCTCTACATTTTGCAGTGAACTCTCCTGTATGACGTGGAAGGCACGTGATCAGGTGGAAGTGGTATTTAACTGTTGCTGGAGAGTTTGAAGAATCATTCTTTCGCTTACTTTGGTGTGTGATGGGAAAGGCTGCTGATCTAAGCGACTTTGATAGAGGGCAGATTGTAATGGCTCGAAGGCTCGGATCAAGTATTGCCGAAACTGCACGACTGGTTGTTAGCAATCTACAGTTGTTAATACTTATGCAAAGTGGATAAATGACGGTGAAATCAGCAGTAGACGACATGGTTTTGGACGTCTACACGCTATGAATCACGTTTTGTCATTCATCACGACGATGGCCGTGTCAGGATACGCCTTCTTCCAGGCGAACAATTGCTCCTTCAATGTACAGTAGGTCATACGCAGGCCGGTGGTAGCGATATTATGCTTTGGGGGACGTTCTCTTGGGCGTTTCTGGAACCCGTGGTTGTGGTAGAGCAGACCATGAATGCTACAGGGTATCTGAACATCATTGCGGACCAGTTGCACCCTTACATGGCCTCTGTTTCTCCATCTGGAAATGGAATTTTCTAACAGGACAATGCCTCGTGTCACAAGGCTCAAATTGTGTTGGAGTGGGTCCAGGAACATGATGCTGATTTCTAATTAATGTTCTGGCCACCGAACTCACCGGATCTCAATCCGATGGAACACATATGGGATGTCCCGGAAAGGCAGCTCAGAGTTCAAAGACCACTAAGTCGCAATATCTCGGATTTGCGTGACCATTGCTTTAACATCTGGTACAATCTGTCTCCGGCCATCTACCAAGGACTTGTGGCATCCGTGCCAAGGCAGGTTGCAGCTGTGTTGCGGGCTAAAGGTGGGCCAACTCGTTATTAAGAGGTGGTCATAATGTTTTGGCTCTTTAGTGTATATATTTAGAAATTGAGACTTGATGCATTTTAAACACAACAAATTGAATTAGATTCAATTAGAATATTCCCAAAATTTCTAAACATCGCTAATTGTATTTTATTATTCTTTAAAATTATAACTTTCTTATTGTAGTTTGTTTTTCTGATAAAATTAAATATTGATATAATAATTATCATGAAACACGAAATAATGGTGTCACTTTAAAATTATGAACTGGATCGTTTGAAAATTGACAGTCTAACGATTATTTACTTTTCAAAAAGCTAAGGAATTTGGAGCGCGTTCCATAAATTCCTTGTCCTGGAACTCACCTATTGCTGCCTGTTTAAGATTAAGAAAAAGAATGCCAAAGGGGATGATGTAATGATTTGTGTGTTTTACAGGGGAAATCATCCATGTGTCTCAAGCAGATTTCCAGAATTTGGAAGGTATCTAACTCTTAATCAGTTGGTTCTCACTCCTTATTTCTGGGGCTGCCTCTGGTCGGCACGATTCCTTCCTCCCTTTTTTAGATTAGAATTATAATTTCAATAACACAGTATTTGACTGTTTATCGTCCTTATACCTTCTCATCACAGCAACAAACAGAGTGTACCTAAAAGCAAAACCGATTTGAAAAATCAATAAAAATTAAACAGAAGATAATAGGAACATTTCGCTTGTTGTATTCTGTTTCTAGTTTTTAAACTGTTTAGGACGGGCGAAAGAGAAAAAAGCACTTCTCGGGGTTTACATGCTTTGAAGGAACACGAACGCACGTGGTCGGGTGATTTTTTCCCGTTAAACATAATTTCATTTAATGATTCTTATAAAATCATTGCAATTAAATCCGCTGAAATTTACAGTTATGTAATTGATAGTACCTGATTATATTGTAATAAAATGTTCGTAACAATTGCAAAACTGGTCGAAAACATAAAAAAAATATCTAGCAAACGATAAATCAACATCCATCTTCATCATCATCGTTGGCCAAACAGACCAATGTGGGCCAATGCCTTCCTCTGAAGACCCAATTCTTCTCGACCTTGTCAAAGTGATAGTTACAAAATGAATGAGAAATTCGATATTAAATAAATAATAAATATAAAAAGCGAAATTAAAATTTCGAGTGCATTTTTTATGGCTCTCATATAAGCAAATTCAGTTCGGAATATTTTTGATTTATGTTTGATAACGATCAATGCCACCTTAAATGTTTAACTCGGTATAACTTCAGGTGTTTGTCAGATAAAAATAGCTGGTTGATGAGAAAGTCTATTTTTCCCCAAAAAAATTTGCAGGTCAAGTACTGTATTAAATACTGAATGATTTCCCACCTGTCAGTTACCAGTCAGTGTTAGTTAATAATTTGTTAATTAACTTTAGATGACCATTGTAATAGAATGATAGAATGACTAATACATTTTTGTTTTACCTATTTATTTGCTTTGTTATAGACAGAATGCGTAGAATGCATGTACTTCAATGTTTTATGTTTGATATGCTGTTATGAATATCTTTTGGAGGATTGAAATAGGATAGATGTAGCAACATGTCTCATTTAAATATTTATTTTGCTTATATGCATTGTACAGGATGTCCAGCGGATGGCTTACTGACTTCAAAATTAAAATTCTCGGACACGAAGGAAGATTGTGGATTGAAACAAACTGTATATCTATTATGAAAGCTGTAAAAATTTTATACAGAAATTTTGGAATTAAGTTCTAAAAATTACTACTGCGCTGCTAACCATTGATGACAAGAGCAATTCGTTTTAGCTTATTAGAGGGTGGCAATTTTTGAACTATATGGAATAAAATGTAAATTATTCAAAGACTACTGAGTGCACAAACTTTATTCAATATGTAAACGCCACTGCAGATATTCGAATTAAGGTAATGACATGTTCGATATTTCTGCCATCATAGGCTGCTCGACCCGCTGAAGTGTCGATACATCGATGCTGCCGATGTCTTCTTGAATGACAGTTTAATGCTCAGCAGTGGTTTTGGGGTTATTTCTGAACACATTGTGTTCAATATAGCCCTACAAAAATGAGTCACGTGTGTTCAAATACGGAGAATATTGCACCCAAGCGAGACCCATTCTCGTGGTTCTCTGGGTAATCCAATGCCAGAATGCGGTTCCAAAGTGCTCTTCCAGGACATCAAACACACTCTTGGTACGATGCGGTCGTGTTTCATCTTGCATGAATCGCATTTGTAGAATCAGGGACAGGTATGAAATCATTTTCTAAAACCTTCAAATATCGTTCAGATATCACCGTTCGTACGAACGTCCCGATTATTCCGCGACTGGACATTGCATACCACACAATCACCCATTGAGGGTGGAGAGACTTATCGATCACGAAATGCGGATTTTCAGTCCCCAAATGCACCACTTTGCTTAATTGACGAACCCATTCAAAGGAAAATGAGCTTCATCATTAAATCAAATCGTATTCGCTACAAATTCCTGTTTATCAATTCTCTCGTCAATAGTGTTGGCGAAACACAACCGCTGTCCCATGGCCATGGGACTTACTGGCTGATGGGTTTGAATTTTGTATGGGAAGAGATGCAGGTCTTCTTCAACAGCAATTTGTTGCAGGGTCTTCCGTTTTTTTCTCACCTTTTGTGTAGCTCGTCTGATCGATTTCCTTGAGCTGGTTTGAAACACGGATTTTGTCTTTTCTATGTTTTCAGACGTTTTCACATTTATTTCTGGACCGACATTGCCAACACTGTCATCACAAACACTACCAGTTCTACCTAACTTGCTAATCAAATTCTTGATTGTTAGCACACTTGGACCGGTTGTGTTTAGCTTGTACTCGATCGCAAACTTCATTTGAGCTACAATTGGGCTGTTATTGCTCGCTCAGTAGGCCTTCATGAGCGATATACACTCAGGCACGTTGTAACACGGGCACTTACTTGCAAATCACAGACAGTAACAAGTTGACATACTAAAACGCATTATGCCCTGCGACCCACCACGAAGTTAGAACTTCATCACGCAAACCGTTCATAAGTTATCACAGTTTTATTTCATATAGTTCAATAATTGTCATCCTGTTGATAGGCAGTTTTAAATTAAGAATTCTATCGAACGACGTGTGTTTTAGGTACTGGAATATAACATGTGAGATTACGGTCCTACGGCATTTATATTTTTTTCTAGAACTCTATACACAGTACCACGCCATTTGTTGACAACTTATAGTCTCAAAATAACAAAATTTCTGCATAACATTTTTCAACTTTTTACAATTAATACTCGATTTCTTTTTTCCCCTTTATCCTCTTTTGTAAATGAGATTTTTAATTTTGAAACTTCGATATCACCTCTGCACGCCCTGTATAAAAAATCAGTTTTTGTAGGAGAATTGTGTATTTCTTTTTAGTTTTGTTATATTCCAAATGGCCATCTTGAGATAGGAGACCAAAAAAGAAGAATAACACCACTTTCATGTTTTCTTCTTTTTCTTGAAAGTTGTCCAAAAGATTTTTTTTTTTTGAAAGAGTAACATAATGTCTTATTGTAAATTTTCGAAAATTAAAATTTTTAGAAGAATTAGAGACTACTAAAACCAAGTTTCGTAAAAATGAATCACATGCCTACGAATTGTTAAACTTTAATCTCGTTTTCCATAGTTAGCCATATTTCTAAAACTCGATTCACCAAAACTTTCGAAGCTTCTCATTCGTTTCGTTTTTGCAAGATAATTGCAAAAGTGAGGGCAAAACCACGAAACTGCCGTTCAACCAAAAAATGATTAGACACTCTCAAAAGATTCAAATTGCTTTGAAGCTCTGCTACAAGACAGATTTACAATGTCCATTTTTAATTGTTTTTTGAGGTTTATAAAAATAATATGCTACATTGTTGAGACTTTTGTCCATTGGTTTTCTAACCGCAATCGAATGGGTTAACTCAAAATAGATGAACAACCGTGGATATCTTGCGTCAGAAATGTGGTTGATGAAGGGCAGAAGCTGTATTATTAGAATTAATTAGCCATTCAAGATTTAGAAGGAAAAAAACTTAAGGAAATTAATAGAAAAAGATTTTATTAGAATTTCAAAATTTAATTTCCTTTTATCTTCTAAAGTTGAAAAAAAAAATGTTTTATGAATAAAGTTCTGAGAAATCAAAAATTATTTATCTCCTTAACTTCCTTCTATAAAGTTATAAGTGTTTGGCTAGTCGAACAAGAAATACGTGCAAAAAATTACAAACTGTTATTAATATCTTAAACACTTGTGCCTTTTTTTACACCGATAGCCAATTCGAAACGTGTGACCTCAATATCTTACGTACTTGCTGCAACCTTAATACGTTGTCAATACCATTTTTAGCCAATACTATGGTCTGGAAACGTGGTTACTTTTACTACCTTATGATGGTCGCAACAAGTATCATGGCATAACATTAAAAGTGTTTGGTGCGTTTGTTAATGGGACAGTAGTTAATGCATTATATCTTTACTATATTCAATTCAGGCTGATTTATTTCGTATTTTATTTTGCAGGCCACTGAGGGAGTGTGATATTCTATCCCCGGAACAGGGGAGACAAGTTGCCAAAGAAATTGGGGCACCTTATTACGAGACCAGTGTCCTCACTCATTTCGGTGTCAATGAGGTATTTGAGAATGTAATAAGATCAGCGTTGCTCTCAAGACGGCAGCAGAGATTCTGGATGACGAATTTGAAACATGTGCAGCGCCCCCTTCTACAAGTAAGTTAGAAAGGCGAATTGAATTTAAACACTAATTATTCAGAATAATTTGCAAAAGTTGTGAAAAAGATTCGATTTACAGAGTGTTCCTTAATCGCTATCCTTATTATCATATATTTTTTAAGACTTCTCTTTAAAATGGAGTCAACAAATATGCATTTTAAGGATCGCTATAACACATTTTAGCGAAAAAATGGCACTTTTGAAATCTAACTAATCACTCCTAAAGAAGGCGGAATTAAGTCACCAAAACTTGTCTGGTATCCAAATATAACGTATAGAAGTGAAAAGGTCTCTAAATTTAAGCAGGCAATCAAACTGGTTTTCATTTTGACGATCTTCAAACTCCTTTTTGTATCGTTTAAAAATTGAGATAAAACGTATCAAATCGAAATCACATCCTGTGATCATTGGCTGCTAGAGTTGGCAAGGCTCATCTAATATATGATTCTGTATAGTGAAGGCAGGGTGCGTAGCAGGGTATTTTCGTTTTTTAAAAGCCCTTAAAGGTGCTTTTTTCATTGGGTGTTTTTAAAAAGTGCTTAATTTTCCCTTTTTCAAAATGAGATTTTTCCTTATGTTGATTTTCGCTTTGAATTATGCAATAAGATCCAGTTCACATTGTTCTATTCAACATTTTCACAATTAATTCAACACCAATATATTTCGGCATATCGTCAGTCCGTAGCGTATGAAAACGCCATTCGTTTCACATGATTCAAAATTTCATGATTTTTGACAACTGTCAAAAACAATGCCAAAAGGTTTTTTTTTTTTTTTACATGACTGTCAAAACAAGATAAAACAGTCAGTTGTCAAAAACTTTCCAACCCAGCCTAATTATGATATTTTTTGTACAGTGAATATTAAAAATGTGAACTTAAAAATATTTGCTTAAAAGGTGCTTATTTTTTATTGAGTAATTTGACTAAACACTCTGTGAAGGGTAAATTTAGGCCCTAAATGGTTTGAAGAAAAAATTGATGTTGATTGAGATTGTTGTTTAGGTTCCTTTCTGCCCTCCTGAGCCAAGACCCCCACAAGTGATAGTCCCCCCTCCACAGTTCGAAGATGACATGTTGTCTTTGCTGCACAGTCAAGCCTACACAGACGTCATCTTCCTCACTGGCAAAGTAGGATTTGCTGCACACAAGTCTGTACTCTCTGCGGTGTGTAGTTCCCTTCACAAACTCTTCACCATTGATGTCTCACCTGATATGACTCTCAGTGGAAGAAGTGCCAGTGATTCTAGTGTAGTAAGTGTCTATTATTTTACTATACAGGAAATCAAATTTTAAAAAAATATGCTGGGTTTTTATTAAAATCATTGTTTTTAATACATATTCTTTGAATCCTTTTTAAATGATTTAAAAAAAAATGGATGAGTAAAGTACTTCAAATTAGTGTATAAGTTATCAAATTGTAACTAATCAGAATGAAGGAAGACTGGATTAAAAATTAGTTTGATTGCAGAAAGAAACTTAAAGGTGTTTCAATTAATTGCCTCTCTGTTTCTTCTGGCAATGAAACAGGTTTCGTTGTATATAATTTTGCATTCCTAAACAATGCTACTATTTATTTTAATAACATTTTTCAATTTTACTTTGCTTGAATTTTAATTTGCAACTCATAAAATGGTTGTTTTTTTTTACCTAGTTTTTGACTAGGACTCTAAAAATGTAATGGGTTTCCTGAAGTTCATGCAAGCTCTTAATTTTGCAAGATTTGTGCTATAAAACTGAGCAATATTTTAACATTTTCTGGTCGTGTAATTTCTTTGTTTGGTGATCAGCAATGATTGCTTAGAAGAAAGATGTCTAATGGCAACTTCAGGCCATTAAACTTCTTTCTTTGAAGATGTTTTAAAGAGTATGGCTCACACCAGGAATCCCATGACTACCCATGTTTTGAACAAAAATTTATAACAAAATTTAGTGATATTTATGCAAATCAGTTAACAAAAGTTTGGCAGAAAATTGTGAATTAAAGTACAAATAAAAGTTATATGTGTTTGGTGTCCATTTATCTGATGTACTATTCCATACACTAATCTATATGCTATATACCTTAGGAATCCATAAAACATTTACTACTTTAATTTATAATGANGCATCTACATACCTAGCGACTTGGGACATTTTTTCTCGATGAGAGATATCAAGAGTTGAATCAAACAAAAGTCCATAATATTTATTTATTTTGATATCGTTTATTAGTTGATTTCGAACTGTAGATGCCAGAAGATAAATGAATTCATTTTGAATCTGTGGTGACAAATATGAAAACAACAAATTTTTCTGCTAACAAATTTTTTCATACTCTATTCACTTAATAATAGAATCGTCGAATAGATGTAGTAAGTAATCTTATTTGATTTATTACTTACCAGAAATGCCTTGAACTTGAAAGGTAATAGCATAGTGAAATATACAATATAATTTATGCTGACATTAAACTTATATACAACATTTAATAACATTTCATTTTTATTCTAAGCAGAGCGCGATGACAAGGACGTGAATTAAATATTGAAATATATTTAATATGAATATGAATTTAATATAATATTTAATATGAATTAAATATTATGAATAATATTTATGAATTTACATTTATTATGTTACACTGGCACTGATTTAAAATATATTTTCCAGAAATCAATTATAATAAAAAAAAAGTTATCCAACAATTTTTTGCTTTGCGGACCATTTAGCGCCCCTTTGTGAGTAGCGCCCGGGGCATGATGCCCCCCTTGCCCACCCCTCGCTACGCCACTGACTGCTTTAATTTATAGTGAACGTTTTCTATATGAAAAAAATTACTTCTTGCTTGAAGTTTGAGATGTTCTGAATGTAAGATTGCTCACCTCTTGATGTTAATTTCTATACGTAGTTCATATTTAAGTTTTTTTGTGACAAAATAAAAGATAGTTTAATGATTTTTGGAAAGTTTTTTTTAAAATTTCTGATTGCTTATTTTTTTACTCTGGTCACCATAAAAATTACATTTATTCATTGATTTCTTATTGATATAAAAAAAATTGTCACATACATACATTTGCCGATTGTTTTGCAAGTCTGCCTGATAAATCTTTTTACGTTTCAGGTTAGCTCATCCGATAGTTCAATAGGAAATTTTAACATGGACACCGAGCAGTTGATTGCCGAGAGTCCTCATTCTGTTATCACATGTGCCTCTTTCTGCCTTTCTCGCAGTAGCAACCACCACAACAATGCTAACCAGAACAACTCAGAGACTCGCCACGGATCTGTCCGGCGGAGATCCACCACCTGCCAGATCCATCCTGAATCCACCCACAACATTACGACAGGGATCCGACGACTACTCGATCATCGTGCTTATCAGTGCATAAGTATAGAACGATGTGAAGGTCTTGATCACCGGGGGAGGGTCACCTCCTCTGTACAGACTATAGTCACGCTCACCAAAGTCATAACGCCTGGTGCCATGCAGAATTGTCTTAGGTGAGTAACTTTGTTTTACCTGTTATATTGGCAATTCAAACAGTCTATAGACAAACAGCACTTAGAAGACTTATTTAGATATGATAACACCTGGCAAGCTTTCACCATTGGCTAGTAGATAATCATGCTAATTTCTGTCTTGATTTCAAAATTGATTAAAAAAAGTTAAGTTTAGAAGCTTTATGGAACTCAAAAGTCCATTGAACATTGTGTCTTAAGTAAGAATTGCTGAAACTTAAAATATATTCTACATAAATTCGAAGCATTATAATGAAAGGATAACATCGGGATACATTCACATACAACTGAGGAGAAGAGTTTCTAGGTATGAGAAATTGCAACACTCACCATCGAACTGGTGCTCACCTCAATTCCATTGTAAGCGTCTCAATCGTCAATTATCCTAAAAATTACTGATGAAATTTGAAAATCCATAAAACAAACACTTTTATTGCTTCTTTTTCTATTTTTTATTGATTTTCAAAACCCATCAATCATTTTGGGACATCCAGTATGCACAGGATGTTTAGCTCACTCTGTTCACAAGATGTTCACCAGAATAATCACTAGATTTAAATATGTTTTAAGAATCATTGGAAAAAATAAAGTTAAACAAACTATGCCACAAATTAGTGTTTAAATGACCAAGTATAAAAATCTTTTAAATCACTGACTATCCCTGTCTTCCCAATTATACTATAATGAAGGACTGAATTAATCTGAAATCAACTATAATGAAGATGAAGCTTGACTGTGTTTTTTAGCAAATGCTCTCTAGTTATACTACTTGGTCAGACGTTAGAAACAGTTTTTTTTAATAAATTAAAGAATAAATTTTTTGAAGCTCTAATGTGAATATTTTTGATATATCTATATTTTTTCCGACCATGAGTTTTAAAATATGTGTCGAAGTGATAGCAAAAGACCCTGTATATATTGTTTTGAACCAAAGCCATTTCAAGACGGCAAGACCTTTCAATTGTGTATCACTGAGAATGATTACTTAAGAACTCAAATTATGTTCGCCTAAATTATAAAAGAAATGATTTTTCTTTTAAAAATTTTATCCCTAAAAGCAAGCTACTAAACATATTTTTTCTATTAATATTATTTTTATAAAAAATTTATTTTCAATTTTTGATTTTTAAGTCCCACTTAAAAAATATTTTAAAAATGTTTAAATATATCTTTTTTCTTGTTCTGTGATTTTTATTTTTATGAATTGTTTTCTTGTGGCTTGGAGGGAAGCTAATACAACTGCATTTAAAGTCCTAGTTAATCATGTATATTATTGAAATATAGATAGAAGCTTTCGAAATTCTAATACAAAAATGAATTTAAAATTTTAAAACTATCACAAAGAATTCTTTTTATTTTATTTATTTATTGAATATCATTGAGTCCTTAGATCTTTAAAGTGTAGGGTTCTGTATATACATATAATGCTTGCTCCACCCATATGACTCCTGGTAGAATAAACCAGAAGTAATGCATTTTGAAGAAAAAACGCCCTGTTTCTCCATCACACATAACTTACAGTTTATTCTTTCTAATCTATTTGTAGTGTATCTACCACTACAAAAATACAATTCCAATTCACTAGTATATAAGACATGTTAACTTGATTCTTTGTTGAGGTACCTTTTCATAGATGAAGGTTGACATTGCCAAATACTCCTCGCCCCACATTGGTGACCCGGACGTGATGTGAACACACCTGCCTTGACAGAAAACGCTCACTTCGTTTTGAACACGCCTACTTCGATGGATTGTCCATATTAAACTGTAGACTTGCTATTTTTGACTATGACATGATCCACCTCCTCCAGCTGTTGCTACTCAGTCTCGATCACACACAACGTTGGCCTGTATACACGCGACTGCTAATTGCAACACAGAAGCAACCACGACCGTGAACTTAATACAGCTCTGATGAACAGCAAAAAGTACAGTGATCTTAATACGGCTCTCCTGACTCCTCACAAAACACCTTTGAATCAAGTAGTGGTATCCCGTTCATCGTATTCTATCACAGATAAAAATTCTGGTGGGGGAGTACTGTATTGTATCCACCACTTCAAAAATACAATTCCAATTCTCTAGTATGTATATAAGACAGGTTAACTCTATTTTATGTTGAGGTACATTTTCATAGATGAAGGTTGACATTGTCGATTACTCCTCGCCCCACACTCTTCATAATTATTCTCAAACTAAAACTTGAATTTCATGTAGTATTCAAATTTTTCTATTCATTATGCATAAATAAAATTAAAGTTATAAGATAATTAAGTTAAGTTTTCATTTAAAGATTTCTGTACACTGGGGGACTTGACCATAAAATGTGCATGAATATGACAGAGCTGCTAGAGGCAGCAGAACTCATGGAAATACCGGAACTTCAGGTGAGTTGCAGCATTTTCAGTTTATTACTGTTTTTAAATTCTTGTACTATATATGTTTTATTTTGTGTGTGTGATGTTGGACTGAAATTGTCATTCAGACTTTTGACTGGGACTCTCCTGTACAGTTACTGATTGGCAATGGACAACATAATCAGAAGGAATGCAACACAGATCTACAGAAGAAATTTGCTCAGAAAGTTAGGAATCGGATGAGAGAGGTCTGTCTGCACCAGGGGCTGTTTTCAGGTTGGCTTTTTTCCACTTTTTCCAGAAATATTTCTCCCCTTTTTTTTTAAACAATTAAAATATATATATATTGGTACACTGAATGTGATGCTTGACTTCTGTAACCTACTGGAAGCCATGTCCTATGATCCGTCACTCCTTTGTGGAAAAACATGCTATTAACAAGATTATATTCAAATATTAAATTCACAAATATAGTAAGATTTTAGCCAATTTAAAAAGACCATGAAATTTTAACTCTATAAATAATCACCACTGCTTTATTAATTTTAATTTCTAGAATGCTTAAAAATTGATGCAGCCGATTCTGTTTTTAGTTTTTTTTCTTCATCATTTAATAAATGAATCACAATTATAGCTTTGAACAAATTAATTTTAACAAGAATTTGCATATTGAAAACTAAAAATTTTGAACATTTGCAACATATTATTTTCTGTTTTGTATCGTTTGTAATTTTTTTTAATTTATCAAAATATTAAATTTTTATATAGTAGTGGCTCTAAATTTCTTTAATGAATTGCGTTGTAAATTTAAAAAAGGAAGAAAAAAGCTTCTTTTACTTGTAGGTATTGCATAAATTATAAATTAGAACTTTTTTTTCATTTTTAAAGATGTATATTTCCAACTGGAAGACGGCCTTTGTTGTGCGCACAAGCCTATTTTGATGGCTCGCTGTGATGTCATGGCTGCCATGTTTCGTGGAGATTTTAGAGAGAGTTCTGCCAAAGTTGTAAGTATCTATATTGTTTAAAAACATTTATATAGAAGACATTTAACTAATTTTAATCTTTTACTCAAGTTGTCCACATCTTTTACCCAATATTTATACTTAAGTAACTAAAAATGCACTCTTTTTTACTCTAGTTCTTTCGGCACTCAAAAAATAAATAAAAAATAAAGAAAGAAAAGAAGAAAGAAAAAGGAATCAATATGAAACCAATTTGGGAGAAAGCTGGAAATCCTTCTAAAAATTATGTTTTTAAAAGTTTTTTGACCCAATATACCCAGCCACCTTTACTTTTCCTACAAGCTGGTTGAGCTTCAAGCTGTTTCCGGGGATCGAACCCCAGTTCCTCACAATGACAGCTTAGTGATTTAATCTCTCTGCCATCTTTATGACCCTCAGAAAATTCTATGTGTCAGGGTTAAGACAATATTCTTATAAAAATGTTTCTCCTATGAGAAATTTAAGATTTATTAATGTTGCGTTTATCATAATGTTGAATTATACCTAATTTTATATTGAAATAAATATCTGTAATTCAACTCAAAGAAATTTTACAGAATTTTTTTTAAAAGATTGAAATATAGTTTTATTCTTTAAAATCCAGTTTATTAATAGAATGTCTTTGATAATATGACACTTAGTAATTGTATCTTAATATTTGTTGTGAATTGTTGCTGTGGTTTGTTCAATTTAATTATATCATTTAGTAGTGAGAAGTTAAAATAGTCATATGTGGTTTGAAAATATTAGAGAGTATGTTTTAAAGAGTATTTTTGAAAGATGACTAATTTTAGACATCTTCAAAGTTCTTTTTTTGTGAATCAATCAGAAGCAACTGTATTTATACGCTTTGACTTATTACTAGCCCAATTCTGTATACGTAGTAGAAACACCATATCCAAAAAGTCAAGTTTGTCAATTTTCTCAGAAAATAGATGCCCAAGCTCATGGATATCTGTTAAATACTATAAAGTTATTTTAGTTTTCTTTTGATAAAATATTAATAACTATTGTAATTTAACTATGAGATGTTATTTAACAAAGTATTGTTTTCAAAATATCGAATTTCTAGATTTTTCCTTAGTTAGCAAATTTCTGAAAATGCTTCTGTCTTCTTTACTGCTTACTTATTTAATAAATAGCTGGTATTTTGTGTAGTACACCATAGAGAAAAAAAGATGTTTTTAGATCTGCAGTATTATTACTCAATCCTTAATGCTGAGTGAGAGGTTTAAAATACTTGGAATTTGATTTTTATGTTTGTGTTTTAACTAACTAAATGTTTTCAAATTAAAGATCATTTTCATATTTGCTTTTTGTTTTGAAAACATTTGTTTATTGACGCTGTGAAATTTTTGAATTTTTAAAACATGCAAACATGTCTATTTATTTTTAAAATTTAATTTTTCTTTCTGTATTTTTTTAATAAAGAATTCGATAAATTTTTTGTTTTGTGACCTACGGTTTGTTTTCTAATTATGTACTGCGGTTAATATCATTAATGCGTGAATGATTTCTCCAGGTGCATTTTCCCGGTATCAGCAAAAGCTGCTTCCAGCAACTCTTGGTCTATCTGTATACAGACGAAGTGGACGATTCCGTGAATCCAACCAACTGTTTAGAGCTGCTAGAGCTTGCCAACCGACTGTGTCTCTCAAGACTGGTCGGACTTGTCGAACAGAAAGTCATTCACGACCTGGTAAAGCTCTCTGATGTTGGAGTGGACTCCACCGAACACGCCCTCAGATTACTCGAGCCTTGCCAAGTAAGAATGTATTCAAGTCAGTTTCCATAAAAAAAAGACTCTTTCTTCCTTTGATGTTTTTATTAATGAAAATAGTAATTTCAAATTATAACCCTTTATATATATATGTGGTTAAAATCTCTGTAAAAATTGTTGGAACATCAGGAGTTCAAATTTATAATTAAGTAAGAAAAATAAAATTATTTCCTAATAATATATACTAATCAAGATTGAGGTCTGGCACAGGATGAAATTAAGGGGGGATTTCAGGCACAGGCTGACTAAATGTAACAATTGGCGATGAAAGAGTTGCCTGCCAGTTGCCTTCAAATTGCCGCTTATTTCGTCCAAAATGCATTCCTTGTGTATTTTTTTTATTTCTTCAATTAATATGGAATTAGGAATATTTTATAATGTTCTAAAAGTAACTTTCATGCTTGTTTCTTTAAATTTTCCTTCCTTTTAAAAATAAAACTTGTAATGCTTAACATATATTGAGAAATGTTTAAAAAGTAATGCTTAACATTATTAAAATTTTTTTTTATTTGTTTGAAAGTTTCGATTTTTTAAAAAGCTGCCTCTGTTAAAAATGCTACTACTGGCAAATAGCAAAATTTCCTAAGGTCACAATGAGCGGAAGAAAGAATAAACCTATCACATACTAGTTTAATATTTGTGTTGTGGAATTTGAATGCATTGGTTTTTGTCTGGGAAAAACTACTTTTACTTTTTATGTCTTCAATTTCACTGGTTTTAGATTATTTTAATTCCTCTGTCGCTATTCAAGAACTCAATAATGGTTGATCTTTGTTTGAAACTTTTTTGACATGCATCATAATTAATGATCTATAATATGCTTAACTTTTTAATTCAATTTTTTTACATGAAGTATGGAAATATGTAATATGAGCAGACAATACAGTACAGTTTTTTCTTTTGTATCCCTCTTTGCTTGTTTTTTTTTTCTTTTCTCTTTTCATCTTTAGGCTCAGTAAGGCAGCAATCAGCTCGATTATACCTTAACTTGCACAATATAGGGAATAAACTCTGCAATCAATTCTTCTTCTTTTCGTTCAGTTCTCTCAATATTCAGATATTGCTTGATTACCTTATTTTATTTTTTTATTCCTTATTCTAATCTTTCTTGTTTCTATGCAATTTTTTTTGTTGCCTTTTTTTTGTATACATTTTTATTTTTGTGCTTTTGCTCCTTTTTTTATTTTCCTTTTGTTTCTTTTAAAATATTTTATGCTTCAAAATGATATTAACATAAAAAATAAATTATGGAGCATCAAAAAATTTGTTCTATTATAACAAATGCTATCCTTTAGTAAACCAAATATCATACTGCATATATAACTGAAAAAAATATTTTGTGAAAATAATTATATAAAATCTGTCATTTTTAAAAGTTTTTGCATAAAAAAATAATAGTTTCTTCATTCTATTTTTTCTTTTAATTTCTTTTTTTATTGATATGACGAACTATGGTTGTTATGGAATGCATTAATATCTCCCAGGCACCTTTTATAGCATTTCTTAACAGTTAAATTTGTCTATTTATTATTTCAGATGCATAATGCAGACCAGTTAGCTGACTGGTGTCTGTATCACATAACTGTTAACTACAACGAGATTTGCCGAAAGACACCAAAGTTGCTAAGAAATCTTCACCCTGAGAATCAAGCCTATTTAAACAGGAATCGTTGGCCTCCCGTTTGGTCAGTATATTCTGTATTCATATCTATATTTATATGTAATTCATTTTAAATTTTTTATAATAAATTTCTTCCATTTGTATATTACATTTTAATATTTGTGCATTTCTCAATGACTCATAGGATTATTAATCAACCAAACAAAAACTAAAATTATTTTTTTGTTCTTTTTTGACAGTTTTTGTTAAATCTAGTTCTTTTTCATTTTTTTAACTAGATTGCTAGCAAAAATGAACAGCATGTAAACATGAAAGTTAAAGCGCATGAAAATTTAATTTATTAAAAAAAGGAACAAGAAATTTATTCTGAAAATGCTAGTGCAAAAATGGCAAAACAAAGAATCTTCATCCTCATAAAAAGGTTATTATTTGTATGGAACAAGTTAGCTAAGTAAGGAGGCTCTGTTTTTATTTTATGTTTGCATAATAAAAATTATTAAATCATTAAATGTTTTCCCAATAGTAAAATTATTCGTGCATATATTTTAAAAGCATAAATGAAATGATTTAATGTTAATTGTATTTAACTCTAATTTGAATAGAATAAATAAATATACATAGAGAATTTTTCAAATAACTTCCCAATTTTTGCTATGTCTGTTGAGCAATATGTGATGAAAAGAAAGTATGTCTTTTTAAATGAGCGAAATAGAATAGTTTGCTTGTAGTTTAGTCTGGGTTGGCTTTTTGAAGTCCTGATGCAACAATCATAATCATAATCCATGTTTTTATAGTAAAATTTAAAACATTAAATAAAATATATTCAAATATATAATTGCAAAAATTGAAGTGGAAATTAATAGTTTTGAGCAGAAGAAAAAAGATTCACATTATATTCATGTTCACTACAAATGTTTTTTTTTTAAATTTGAGAGCTCTTATCTTTTTCAGGAATTCATTTAACAGAACTTGAAATCAAAAATATAGTGCTATTTGCCGTCTTTGCCATCTAGCTTCATCACCTTTCAAAATTATTTTGTGCAAATATAAACGTTAATGGTAACTAAACTGAAGTGAACTAAACTTAATTTTTAAGTTTGAGACTTGAGTGGAAGATGGTAATTTTTTAATGCCTTTTTTCATTCTTATTATCATAAGCATTTTTTACATACTAAAGTGTTTTGAAATTAAAGAGTTCACTTTTTTGTCCCACTCTATTATATATAGTGTTCTATTTTATATAGTGTTATAACTATATATATAGTGATATTTAAAGCAAATTTATTTTATGAAAAAAGAAATTTCCAGCACAAAAAACTTTTATAAGAAAAGGGTGTTTTTTATTTAACATTATCACACCATATAATGGTAATGAGCAATTTAAATTATTAAATTAATACATAAATGTAATTTTTTAGTTTTTTGATGTGGTGGTTTTATGAAAATATAAAATTTCAGAAACTAACACATGTATAGTACCTGCCTACTATGATTTCAACATTGAGTTAATTACTTACATTTCATTACATATTCCTTATTAACTATTTGTTCCTGTATTCTTCTTGTTTTGGTATTGTATTCTTCTGAAATCTCTTTGACTCACATTACAACACTTTATTTATTTTATAATATTCGAATCAGGTACGATCAAAAGTTTATTTTTGTATTATTTTTAGGTCTTATAATTGGCACGTTTTTTACTTGTACTTTCCTTTTTCAGGTATTTAAAAGAGATCGATCACTACGAACGTTGTGTGAGAGAACGTCAATGGGAAGAGAAGCCGCCAAAACTTTTTAAACGCCATAGAAATAACAGTACAAGTGGATGTCTCTGTTTCTCTGGAAGGAACAGGAACAGTGATTCTAAACGTGCCTACCGTACTGTTTGATTGATTTATGAGGGTCTTTTAACTCTATAAGCGCATGTTTAATTGAAAGTCTTTTACTAAGCACTTACACTGTTTGGTGTAGAAATGAAGAATTCAAATAACACATAAAACGTGCTGCGCATTTTAAATAAGCTAATACGAACTTATTGTGTGCCCCCTAACTTCTCTTTTCTGATGATTTCTGATTTACTTGATTCATGAGCTTTGTTTGAGAGAAACAGATCTCTTGTTGGAATGGAAAGTTTTGAGAAAATATGTCTTATTTTCGCATCATGCTTTAAGCTCTGTCAGTATACATGTAAAAATAATACCAATGTCTAAAATTGTTCATGATGCTAATCTTAAGCATTTTTACTGATAAATCTTATCGCTTGGCTTAAAACTAAGAGCATATGGAAGGGAAAAACATATGGTTTTTGTTATTTGTTCTGGATTTATTGTTTAATCTGTATTGGAAATGTTATTTTTTTAATGTTTAAAATTGTGTTAATTATGCATTGTGATTATAACTGGCTTTTAAAAACAAAATTGTCATTTAAATTGTTTTTCTTTCTGTATTTATGTTAAAATTTGTCAGCATCATGGATGATCTGCATTTTCCATGGAAGTTTTAAAGTATAAATTTCTTTACGAAGTCATTATGTTTCCAATTAGAAGGTTATCTTAATAAAGCTACAAAGTGTGTCATAAAAACTACCCTTAATATAAATTTTTTGAATTTTTTCCCAAAATTGACCTAAAAACACGTACACCATTAAGAATTGTAAGTTAATATTTAAAAGCAAGAAAAAATTACTATTGAAGTCTAACAAATTACTACTTAGAGAATTAATACTGAAAGCATCAAAACCTTTTTGATTTTTGTATAGAGTTAAAAGATTACTAAAATTATCTCCAGGTTTCATCAGACAATCAAACTGGTTTTGATATTATCGATGATTCTACAGATAGTATTTTAGTTCTTTCCTTGCTTATTTGAACATAAATTTGTGACCTCTACTGTGTTCACTTTTTTAAACTTTATGTTTGACAAGGTTTCTAAAACCCTATATTAAGAATAATCATAACAGATAACCCTGTTAAGAAAATGTGATTGAGTAATAAATTATTTTAAACTTTCATGGATCACATATCAATCATATAAGCTGAGCTAATTTTAAACTTATTTAAATTTTTGTGTAAATTTCATGGATTAGTTTCTCTAATGTGTTTAAATCTTATAGAGATGAAAAATTTACCTCTAATTTGGCTTCACTTTTTACAAGTGTTTTGTTTAATGTTGACTATAGTAGAAATATATATTATATGAATCTGCTTAATGTTTTTGAATTGTACTTTCATGCACTGCAAACATTGCTTTAATCACATATATGATCTATTTTTTAAATCTTCACTTTCGAAATCGCATCTAGCTTTATTTTATAGCACACTATTTTATTAACCTGAGACTGACTTGAAAACCTTTTTTTTCTTTCTTTTTTTTCCGTATCAAACTACAATATCGGATCAATGATAGGTGTGACATATTTTCAAACATTTTTGACAACTTTGTAAGAAGCAAAGGTTTCTGTCAAAACTCACAACAAACAAAAAGGCCTATACTTAATAAGTAACATGACCTATGACTTTCTATAAATGTGATTTTTGTCTTCGCTTTATTATTTATTAATTACTTTTTAAATAGAAAATGTCACTATTTTAACTTTGAATGCATAACCACTTTTGACAAAAAAATATTATTTTTTCTGTTAAAATAATTACAATAAGAAGTATCTTTTCCTAAAAAAATTTTTAAGTTTTTAGTTTTACGTTTTTTTTAATGTTTTATTCGTAAAATTAAAATTTGTTACTTATTTGAACAAAGGACTATCCTTACATCCAGTTGTTGGCTAAGGGGGTCATAGAAGTAAATTATCTAATTTTGAAACAAACAGCATGATAGTGACCATGTGGTCAATATTGCTTTTTTGAAGCCTTTACTTTACAGACAAGCTAGTACCGAATTGATCTGACGCTGGATGGGCTTCAAGTCACCACCAAGGGTCGAATCCCAATCCTTTACCATCATGAAAGCTCAATTCCTTAAGTACAGTATTTTCTGGGTACATCTATTTATTGAGTTGATTAAGTTGGTGCATAACATACATCCTTTTAATCTTAAGTTTTAAATTAAAGAGAAATCATAAAATGCTCTGAAACTTATGTTTTTTTAACAATTCAAAACTGTTTACAATTTACATTCTTTTTTCACTAATATATTACTGTGATTGTAATAAATGTGAGGAAAAGATTTGTTCATTAGTTTATGCAAGTATCGTGAAAATGTCAACATTAGAAATGCTGCTGCTTTTAATGTTGTCTAAGTGTGATGTATGGTTGGACCATATTAAGAACTGGTTTTGTTTTATTGGTGAAGAGGTCGAAATTGAAGTCCATGATCGTTATGCTAACAATGAAGTTTCTTAGTAAATGTGTGTAAATTTTATATTTGTATTATTCCTAATATGTATAATTCACAATATTGCACTATATTAGTTAAAAAAAACTTCTGTTTTAGTTTTTGCTAATTTAGAAAGTCAAAAAAACCACGAAATTTAATTCTTACGTTATGTAAAAGAGATAGGGAGGCATTACAAATTTATTTTTCTTATGTATTTATTTTGTGCATAGCTATTTATTAGCTGTATGCTTTTAATGTCCAATTAAACTGCTGGTCAGTATTGCTGGACATACAAGGAAAAATACAAGGAAAATAATAAAGATTGCAATGCATTTTTTATTTAAACACTTAAGTTTGTACTTCATATGAACTTTTTATGTGTTCAAATCTGAACTGTGATCTTTTCATCTGCTTGTTCTTTATTTTTCATTTTACTTCATTAATTTTATTGTTACTATTACTTTTTTTTACAGAAACATATTATTTTTCTAATATGTTTGATCAGATTTCTATTTTAGTTCAAACAATTCTTTTAATAAATATTATGCTTTTTTTATAAATAGTCGCATAGCTCTTAACAGTTTTTTTCTTTAAAAAAAGTTCAATTCTTTCATTTAAGTTAATGAATTTTTTGAGGAACTTACAGAACTTGCAAGTTAATTTAACACTGTAATAAGTTCACAAGTATCTATAAATTATTTAAGAATAAATTAAATTTTTTGCATAATAAAAAAAATTTAAAACTTTTTTCTCAGTTAAATTCTTGAATTATCAGAAAATTGAGATTTTCTTTATGAAATATCTATAAATAGAAAACTGTATGTTTTTATTATTTCGCTTTTGTTTTGTAGTTTAATAAAAAGTATTTACATTTTGGTTTAAACTATCTAGCATTCATTATATTTTTATTATTTTGTAAATGACATCTTGTTTTTGTCAAATGTTTATTTATGAAACTTGCAATTATTATTATGATTTTTAAATTACTGAACTGAGAATTTAATAAAAATATTTCCAATTTTATTGGAATATAGTAAAAAAAAGTCTGTGTATGAAAAATTATTTTTATTTTATTACTTACAAACACTTTCATTTCTTCATAATGTTTTTTCATGTACTTGAGATAAGTTCAATTCACATCATAATCTTCAATCATTATTAAACTGCGTAAAAATAAAATTTAATTTACATTTAAGGTGCTTTTTAATTTTGACTAAATTTAGAAAAAAAAATTTATTTTCTTCTTTTTTCATTTCTTAAATTATGTCCAGTTGAGAAGAGGTATAGCTTATTTCATTAATTTAATTTTGAATTATTATTCTTTTATTTTAAACTTTTAAAAAAATTAATTTATTAAGCTTTCTATTTCTTTGTCTGAAAAAAAAATATTTTAGTTGAGCATAATTTATTTACTACTTTTAAGGTAAAACTCATAAGTTACAGAATGATTCACTCAAATGCCTAACTATATTTATACTTTTTTTTTATAAAAACCATTTTAAAAAAAGTTTTGAACCGTACTTCATTAATTTAAATTCCTGTAAAATTTCAATTCAACTGTACTGTCCATATGTTTTGCATTTCGATATTTTATGCTGTACTTTTACATGAAACTTCAGTATATTGTAGTTAGTTTGTTTAGTTTTTCTTCAATTGAAGGAAAAACTAGATCTGTAGCTATAAATTTTTATATTTGCAACTTCCTTTTAAAGTATAAACTTGACTTTTTTCTCGAAGAATGATCTATAATACTTTCTAGAACTTCTGATTCATCCTGAAAAAGTAATTTATGAATATTTTTGTGTTAATTAATGGAATATTACGTTGTGATATTAACATTTACTTATCTGCACATTTATGATAAACCAACATAGATACGCGTGTAAAGCAAGATGCAAATTGCTACCTGTGTCAAAGCAACTCGTAGTCTGTTAAAAAGTGATAGAAATGTTGTACGCATTAGAAAAGAGCGCAATTGCTTTAAAAAAAGCGCAAAAAAAAACACACACCACTGCCTCTTTACTCTTTGCATGTATTCATTGTTCACATGCTGTATTCTGCTCAACATAAACATCATTTGTAATAATATTCATTGGATGATAACATTTAAAGTACTTATTCACTATAGCATTTTGAAGTAATAGCTTTTAATGTGTCATTATCATGAACACAGTTACAAATTTATCGTTAATCTCTTGAAATTTAAATCTGTTTTCTCTTAAATGTTAAAGTCGTGAAAACTCTACATTCTTATTTTATATAAGATTCTTGTTGAAAGTAGTTTTCATATTTTGCACAACTAGTGGCAAACTAAAGATTTGAAATAATTTTTTGTTCAAAAGGCAGTCAATTTATTTGTTTTTCTCAATTAATTTAAAAATAATACTTTAATTTAAAAACTAATGCTTTTCTTAAATAAGGAACAAAAGTGATAAAAAAATAACACAATATTATGATCAAACAATTCTGAGTAGTACATTTTCTAGTTTTTAAATTCCTTTTTTTGTTTACTAGTAAAATATGAAGATTAAAATACATTTATGTGTAAATAAACTCTTGGTGTTATAAATAAGCTATTTTTTTTTTAAAGAATTACATTTGAAAGGAAGAAAAACCGCAATTTTGTTATCAAACAATTTTATGACTGGTACAGTTTCGGAATCGTCTTCTAGTTTTTAATTTTACTTTTTGTTTTCAAGTAGGATATAACATTTCAAGACACAATTCTATGTATAGAAAAGTTCTTGGTGTTATAAATCAGCCTTTTCTTATATATAGAATTACACTTGAAAGTTAGAAAAAGAAGATAATTTTGTTATCAAACAATTCTATGCCTGGTGCGATTTTAGAATCGTTTTCTAGTTTTTAATTTCATTTCTTCTTGTTTTCTTCGAGTAGAATATAACATTTTGAGTCTTAATTTTATATATATATATATATATATATATATAATAATAATTTTTCCTGTTACAAATAAGCTATTTTTCTTGGTACAGTTTCAGGATCGTTTTCTAGTTTTTTTTTTTTTTTAATTATCACTTTTGACTAAAATATGATGCATTAAGACTCATTTTTGGTTACAAATTTTTAGTATTCTAAAAGAGTTTTTTTTTTAAAGAATTGATTTTCAAAGTGAGAAAAAGAACACAAATTTGTGTGCAAACAATTCTATGAGTTGCACTTTTTTGGAATCGTTTTTTAATTTCATTTCTTCATTTCATATTTAATTTTTTAATTTCATATTTCGTAATTGAGTAAAATATGTGCCAGAAATTATTTTGAGTTATAAATTATTTTTGTTGAAATATGCAAAAAGAATAATGTTTTAAAATGAGTTAAAAAAAAGCAACACTTATGTTATGAAATGTTTTGTATAGTTATAATTTTGTAATTTATGTGGAATTTGAAAGCTAACTTTCACTTACTACTTATAGAAAATTGGAATCTAGTGTTTGTCTTTACCGCAATGCAGGAAAACATTAGTTTTAATACTGCTAAATTTATTCGCATCTTTTTACGGAATGATAATCAGTGAATACAATTCGTTTAAATCACTAAGAATTAACATTTAATTGTTTTAGTTTGTAATCTAATTAATTAATGTGAAAAATTGCGATTTTAAATTCAATTTTTATTTTATGCTATTCACATATAATTTAATTCCTTTTATTTTATTATGTGAATAAAACCTGTTTTGGAGAGTATTAAAATTTTTCCTGAACTATGAATTTTAATTCAATTTTAGTCTAAAATTAAAATTAAAAATGTTGTAGAAATTTTTTTTTGTGGTGTTAATGTTACTTGGTTGCTTTTAAAAATTAATTTGAATGTATTATAAATGTTAATGCTATTCTAATAATGTATATATAAAAAAAATTCATTTTTGTATGTATCTAATATTATTTTTTAATTAAGTGTTAAATTGTATAACACTGTTGTTCAAAAAATTGTTGAGTCGAGTTAATAGAAAATTTTAAACCAGTTATTCCAGTTAATTTTTTGCTGTAAATTCCAATTACTTTTTAGTAGATTAGTTGCACTTTGTGAACATGAATATTTTAAACCTTACCAGAGTTTTTAAATTATGTTTTTTGGAAGTAGATTTAGTGCCCTCAGGTGCCTCTATGTGTTGACAGTGATAATTCACTCCGCTCTATGTGATAATAACTGCATTGGAATAGTATATAATCCATAGAAGATTTATAAATTACCGTTTATAGATTAAGTGTGATATATATATATGTATAAAAAACATGCATTTCAATAGATGTGCTTTATTTTTGTTTTTTAGCGCACTGTATTTTAAATCTGAACAATCTAAACAATTTAATATCTCTTAAAATTTATTGTCGAAATTCTGCTTTTCTTTTCATTTCTAGAAAGGTTTTGCTGTTAATGAATACTGAACTAAGTTAATTTTTCACTAAAAAAATTGCTTTATTTACTATTGTGTTTTAACTAATTAGAGAAGAATCAAATTTTTAATGATCTCTGAGTATTAGTCCCAGCTTATTAAATGGCAGAAAAAGTGCGTTGTCAGAAACTTTTTTGTACAATCTTCGTTTAGAAGGTTAATTAATTAATACATTTATTTATGCCATTTTTTTATATCTTTCTAAACATTTGCTTGTAATAAAAATTGAAAGGAAATCAATATGATAAATTATTTATAGTGTTTATAATTTACAGATTCTTGTTTACAGATTCAGAATTATAAACAAAATTAAAGAATCATCTTTAAATTTAATGTTGATAGTTTTGTTTTAGTCTCAATACCAAAACATATTTCTTCCGATGAAGGGTTTATATTATTCGTTGATTATTATAAATATTGAGTTATAGAATTTCTTAAAATACTAGTATATTAATAAACAATGTGACATATATGCAAAATATTAAGTTTACAAAACCAACTATTTTTGCAATTACATATTTCAAAATTTATTCTAACTTTCAAGTATTTTTATTAAATATAAATTATTCCTAATTCTTTTATTATTCAATTTTTATTATATCTTTTTGTAGTTTTTTGTTGACTCATGAAATACTCTTTCTTTTTTGGGATATTCATGAATATGTTTAAACTGATACTTTAACCCTTTTGTCCCACTTGTGGACATTTAGTTTAAATCAAAAATGTCATATTAAGAAGATAAATTTTTTTCC